TAATAGTTATCTTTTGGAGCGCTGAAGAGCTCCCCATAGAAGGCTGAACAAAGGAGACCCTCGATGTGTAGGACTATTAAATACTAATCCGAGACGGTGCGCGCACTTAAGCGCGAATATCAGAAGACAGTTGGAGTCGGACACAGCGGAGTGTATACGATGGGCCACAAGAAGACGCGGACAGATGAAGCAATGCAGGAGGTACACCTTAGCGCAGAACCTACAAGGCGGTCGAGCGTCGAGACGGTTGTAAAGAAGGTCAAAACATGAAGGAATAATGTACAGTTGGTCAAGGATCAAATAGTACATGAAAGATAGCAGGTATCTTTTGGGCGATACAGACCTTCCCGCTGAACATAAAAGCCTTCGATATCGAGAAGGATATGTGAATCGAGTTTCATAGGGAAGAACAAAATCTGACCAGCCCAGGAAAGGGCCGATAGGTTCTTAAATATCGCTGCTGTCAAACGGTGCACTAGGGAGTGGTCTCTCTTCGCCTTACCTTACACCGCGCCAAAATGACCCTCGTCCCACGAAGAAGCAACCCACTTATTGAAAAGAGCGACCATCATCTCGCCGAGAAACGACCAGCGCTCGCTGCAGGTTACTCGTTGACTGCGCCGATCCTTAAAAGCAATACTCTCGTTGGCCAGTCGATCAAAGGGGAGGCTTGGGACGTGCCGAGACTAGAAAAAAGAAAACAAGCTCAGTAAATCTCAGAAAGAACCAACGAATGACCTGCAAGCAGACTTTTCGGTTTCGGAATATCTTTCAGAAAAAGGTTTTACAGAAGCTGTTAATTTTTTGTTCCCAGAAGGTTAATCGACCAAAAATAGGACAAATATATACAATATATGCAAAGTTAAGAGTATTTGCACTGTACGTAGTCTGAAAAACGAATCGGCTTACGCACGTCCCGGCCACGGTGATTCGCCGTGGAAGCGGCGTACCAGATTCGAGAGATGTCGGGACGGCTGATGCTTGTAGACCGGGATGAAAATGGTTGTATGTGGGCTGGGATACTGCCAGGTCGCCCAGACCTAGACAGGAGAACGATTAGGGTCCTCATCCAAAGCCTTTGGCTCAAAAGCCTGTCCGCAAGGCAGCGGGGTGGCAGTGATTTAGTTTTACAGAAATGGACGCCATCTCATTTCAAACCCCCAACCTGGAGGACCAGGAGACTGAGTTTGTCTGACCTCTCACCATTGACCAACCTGGTAGGAGTAGCTCTCAAGATGCTCGGAGGCATCACCCAGTATAGCTCAATGGGTCAATGAGGTACGCAAACCGTCGCACGACGTTAAGGTCCAGTCTCGTTGCGACTTGAGCTCACGCATTGCAAAGGCCAGAGCTGCCTTCTTGAACTTGCGTCATCTTTGGCGACAAAAGGGAGTTTCCCTCCGTCTGAAACGCTGTGTATACAAGGCCACAGTGAGGGCCGTTCTGCTCTATGGTAGTGAAACTTGGCCCCTTCTGTCTGAAGATCTGAGGCGCCTTCAAGTCTTTGATCATCGTTGTTTGCGAAGCATTGCTGGTGTCGGATGGCACCAGCGTGTTCGCAACGATGATGTGCGTAGGCGAGTACTAGGTGGTGACAATCATGCTAGCTCCCTAGAACAACATATAGCACTGAATAAGTTGCGTTGGCTCGGGCACGTGTTACGTATGCCTGGTCACCGCTTACCTAGGAGGGCCTTGTTTAATCTGCCAGGTGTAGGGTGGCGCAAGGCTCGCGTTGGACAGAAGTTGACTTGGCAGTGGGAAATGAAGTCACTGATGACCAAACTAGGTGCCGTTGGTTTGTGTCGCCTTCCGGGCTGGAGTCCACGTGACTCGCCTTGTGCTTGGCTCGAGACTTTACAGGACATGGCTCGCAGTAGACACCCTTGGCGCGTCTGCTGTCGTCTCCTAATCGGATTGCCTGTTTAAATTGTGTTTGGTGCTGAGTTATCTGCGAGGTAATGTCTGATTATGACGCGAGGCAGTGAAAGCCGTATGGAAGCTGTCTCACCGATGCCGCATTATCTTTGCACGATAGCCAGCTATTTGTGACGGTATGTTGTCTACACAAGGTGTAGGCGCCTTGACCCTGAATGTTTGCTTAGGGCATTAAGGTTTTCAGTTAAGTCTCCCTTTCTCTCCCTCTTCTTATTCTTTATTTCATAGGTCCTCATGGTTGTATGGCAGCGAAGCATCAGTTCAAATGGCTGATATACTGCTGTTGATGATGATGATGTAGACCGGGATCGTGGTCTGGTTGCACTACACTAGGATGCTGGAAGTTGGTGCGGTGAGTTGTGACGTCGCACGAAGCACTACTAGATGAAGTAGGCGAGGTGGTTTCGTCCATAAATGCAGGATTCTAACAATCGATGGTGACAACTTCGCGTCGGCCACGGTGGTCTATCGTGTATTTCTTATTCGCATGGTGTAGCACTTTGAGAGGTACTATGTACGGCGTCTGAAGAGGCTGTCGAACATCGTCTGTGCGAAGAAGGACCTGTGAACACGTAGACAGCTTCTCGGGCACGTACATTGTTTTCTTCTGTGATCGTGGAGCGGGCGGACTTAGCTCACGCATCTGGTGAGCCAATCGATCGGTCTAACTTCCGTAGTGAAAAGTGTAAGTAGGCGGGGCTCGTGCGATCAGCTGTCCGGGCAACCGCATCGTGCAGCCGTAAACTAGCTTCGCTGGTGTTGCGTTGAAATCGGTTTTAACAGTGTTTATAAGCCTAGGAAGACGAGAGAAAGTGTTTCAGACCATGAAGGACCTGTGTGTGCACATAGTGCGGCCTTCAATTGGTGGTGAAAACGCTCCACCATGCCGTTAGCGACCGGATGACACGCCGTCGTCTGAACGGGGCGACAGCCTAAATCCTTGAGCAACGTGGCAAAAGTCGACGAGAAATGTGGCCCTCGATCGGTGGTCAAGATAACGAAACAGCTGCATTGTGCTACTCAGCGTCCGAGAGAAGGTTTCGCTTCCGTTTCCGAAGAATAGCTAGGTGTGGGAATAGCTTCCGGCCATCTACTGAATCGATCGACACAGGTCAGTAGATATACCGAGCCTTTCGAAGGCGTCAGAGGACCTGGGAGGTCGACGTGCAGTGGTGCAAACATGCATCTGGTGTGGGAAATGTTTCTATTGAGCTTTTCGTGTGTCTATGCACTTTCGCGCGTTGACATGGAAGGCGAGCAGTTGCCCAAGTACGAACATCACGATTGACATTGCGCCAGACGAACCGTGTAGTTACCAGTTTAACCGATGCACGAACGCCTGAATGAGACAAGCCATGCAACGTGTCGAACGCGGTCTGCCGAAACTCGCGTGGGACTACTGGGCGTGGCGTGCCCAGAGATAAATCGCAAAGTATAGTTCTGTCTGATGATATCAGCGGAATCGGTCGTACGCCCAGTGAGAGAGACCTACGTATCATATCAACCTCAGGATCATTGAGTTGCGCTGCGGCCATGGCTGCCAAGTCGATAGCAGTGCCGGCGTCAGCGGAGATAGCTTGGATTCGGGAAATTGCATCGGCGACGGCGTTGTGCACACCTGATACCTGCCGTATATTGGTCGTAAACTGAGCGATGTAGTCAAGGTGGCGCGACTCTCTAGGAAAGTATTCGTCGGTAGTCGAGCAGAGCACGTAAGTCAGGGGTTTGTGGTCGGTGAAGACAGCAAAGGAGCGGCCTTCTACGACATGTCGGAAGTTACGTACTATTAGATATATAACTAGTAGTTCTTTACCGAACGTGCTATAGCGAGATTAGATAGGTTGTAGGCGTTTGGAGAAAAACGCTAAGGGCTGCCGCGTGTCGGATAGTTGTTGTTGCAAAACAGCGCGACTGCCACGTCCGAGGCGTCAGTACTGAGGAACATGCGGCTGCTGGATCGTTATGCGCCATAGAAGCTATGTTGGTGATAACCTCTTTCAGCGACTTAAAACCAGCGCTTGCTGTAACAGAAAATTCGAATTTCTTGAGTTTCCCTCGGAGTAGGTCTGTCGGTGAAACTTGACAAGCCCATCAAAACGCCTAAACTATTTAAAAGAATGAGGCTCGGGGTAGTCGATCATGGCTTGAATTTTATCCCGCAGTGGCATGGCGCCTGCAGAGGAGATACAATGGCCAAGGAAGTTGACTGAGTCGACACCAAACGAACGCGTTGATGGTCACCCCTTGTTGAGCTAAACGATCAAAAAGTGTTCGTAGGTGGCGCAAGTGCTCTTCTTGTGAAGAGCTCGCTATTACAATGTCGTCGAGATAAGCGTAAGCAAAGTCTAAGCCGCGACAAACTTGGCTGAGGAAACGCTGAAAAGTTTACGCGGCATTCTTTAGACCAAATGGCATGCGCAGGCAATGGGATAAACCAAATGGAGTTGTCACGGCAGTTTCGGCTATGTCCGTTTCGGCTACCGGAATTTGGTTGTATGCGCGTACCGAGTCGATTTTGCTGAAAGTATTTTTGCCCGCCAGGCGGTGAGATCCACCATGTGTGGGATCGACTAACAATCGGGCGTGGTAACCGTATTCAATGTTTGATAGACGCCGCAAGGACGCCAGCCCCCCATGACCTTCGGTACCATGTTGGACGGTCTGACGGTTTCGAACTGAAACATGTGGTCGAATTAAGCTCGTGCTGCACGTAGTTTGTCTGGAGCAATCCGTCTTGGTCGTGCGCTAACTGGACCTTAACGTCGTGCGACGGTTTGCGTACCTCATTGACCTATTGAACTACACTGGGTGATGCCTCCGGGCACCTTGAGAGCTACTCCTGCCAGGTTAGTCAATGGTGAGAGGTCAGACAAACTCAGTCTCCTGGTCCTCGAGGTTGGGGGTTTGAAATGAGATGGCGTCGATTTCTGTAAAACTAAATCATTGCCACCTCCCCGCTGCCTTGCGGACAGGATTTTGAGCCAAAGGCTTTGGATGAGGACCCTAATCATCCTCCTGTCTAGGTCTGGGCGCCCTTGCAGTATCTCAGCCCACATACAAGCATGACATTTTCTCCAAACATAAACTTCATCCTTCATCGGTCGTCGCGCAGATTATTAAGGGTCGCCTTATCTGCTGCATACAGCAGGGCGGATAATCGAAAACATGCTACTACTGGCGTCTCCCTTCTTTCTTTTCCACCTTTTTCTCTTTTTCCCATCCCAACCCCCATTACTAACCTTCCTTCTATAATTCCCAGCTTAATTGACAGCAACCGAAATGCCACTGGAGTAGAACCATCTGCAGCTACCATCCCACCACACCTATCGGACGCCTATCGACAAAAGTCCCTTATAAGGCCACGGTATCCCGTTTCCATGGCGACATTCAATGTTCGCACTCTAAGACAAACAGGTCAACAGGCTGCACTCGCACGCACCTTGGACACACTGGGTATTGATGTGTGTTGTGTGTCCGAAACTAGGATTAATGACCCTAACGGGGTTATTGAATTGACTGCACCCGGCTTATCCTCTCGTTATTTGTTGCACTCATCCGGAGACGCGGATGCTGCACTCACGGGTCAAGCTGGTGTAGGTATCATTCTAAGCTCCAAGGCTGAGCCATCGTTGGTTGGTTGGATTCCGGTGAACGGCCGTTCATGTGCAGCCCGTTTGACGACATCAGCTAAGGTTGATTCAGGAAGTAGTACAAAACGCTGTTTGTTCGTGATTTCCGCTTATGCTCCCACCGACTGCAGTTCAAATACTGTCAAGGACACATTCTATCACGAACTGAATGCGCTACTACGCAGTGCTACTAGTTCAGATATTATAGTACTTGCAGGGGATATGAACACACAAGTAGGGCGTCTGAGCTCTTCAGAAGCTCAGTTGGGTGGTAAATGTAGGCTTAACTCCGAGCGGACTGACAACGGTGAACGTCTGCTGCAACTGTGTACGGAGCACCAGTTGTTTCTTAGTAGCACTGCTTTTAGATACGGTGGGCGCCGCAGTGCCACTTGGCGTCCTCCTGTAGCTGGCCAGCGATGGACCCAAATTGACCACATAGTTACAAATGACGTGGTTCCATGCTAAATTGCCGCTCGTACTGGAGTACCTGTGTCGACTCTGATCATGCCTTGGTACGCCGTCGTTTCTCCATGAACTTTACCGGGAGGTGCACCAAGCGTCCCCTACGATTAACAACTGAGAAATTGTCCCAGTCCTCGGTCAGGCAAGCCTATCAAGAGGCACTGCATACCGAACTTCCTCTGTCTTGTCCTAATGACACTGAGCTTCAGTGGAATAGGATCTCGGCCGCCATACACGACGCAGGAACCTCTGCTTGTGGCACTATCCATCGTCACCGCACCAGTCACTGAATATCCGAGAGGTCGGTGAACCTGTTGGAATCCAGAAAAAAAAACTCCCGGCTGGCTCTGAACACAATGTGACCAGACGGGCTATTAGGCGTGAACTAAAGCAGAGCCTGCGTGCTGACAAGGAATCCTGGTGGACCAGTCGGGCTCAAGAAATGGAGGAAGCAGGAGCAGTAGACAATTACCGCAAGCTCTTCCAACTGATCCGCACCACTGGTCCCAGAAAACCAGGCGTCAGTGAGACAATCAGATACAGCGCAGGTGCACTGATACACAATAAGGAGCGCCGTATGGCTCGTTGGGCAGAACACTTTCAAGATCAGTTCAGCTGGCCCCCTGCTCCCGGATCTCTTCCTACTCAGGTGATGCAGGACGAGTCATGGACGGTTAGTTTAGAGCCTCCGTCGGAGGCCGAGGTCCGAAACGCGATTACAGCGCTCATTCGTTTTCGTGCCGCTGGCCCGGATTCTCTCCCACCTGCACTACTTTAGGATGGAGGTGAGGTCCTCTGCAAAGCACTGACCTTAATCGAATGTATCTGGAAAGAAGAGAGCGTCCCGGCTAATTGGAGCGAATCGATTATAGTGGCAATATACAAGAAGGGTAGTCGCACAGACTGTTCTAACCACAGGGGTATTAGTCTAACGCCAATTGTGACAAAATTATAGACCTCGATTATCGTTCGTTGCCTCACTGTGGAACGCGAATCTCGGATTAGGGAAGAGCAGTCCGGTTTCCGCCTAGGGCGTCGCTGTATAGACTATATATTCACTGCGGCAGGTGCTAGAGCAGCGCCACGCAAATCGCAGACCGACAATAGCTGTGTTCCTCGATTTCATGAGTGCGTTCTATTCAGTCGATTGATCGATTCTGTTCGAAATATTTGCGCGGAAAGGTATCCCCACAAAATATGTGAGCATCCTTCGTGCTCTATACTTGAACACTACAGGCCGCGTCAGGGTCTACGATGTTTTATCGGATAGCTTTCCGACCACAAGTGGCGTTCGTCTGAGTTGTCCAATTTCCCATTTTTGTTCAATCTCCTCGTGGATTCTATCATGGAGTGTTCCCTTGCGGAATCTCACGATGTAGGCGTTGAAGTGCTGCCTGGTGAAAGGTTAGTTGATCTAGATTATGTGGACGATATCGTCTTGCTTTTCGACGATGTTGTGGTAGCAGCATTAACTTTGAATAGCCTGTCCAGAATGGCCCCATTATTTGGTATGCGCTTCGCACCTTCAAAGTGCAAAGTGTGACTACAGGACTACCAGCTACTTATGTCCCTTGACGCTTGCTAACGAGGAACTCGAGGTGGTTGATCATTTCACTTATCTTGGCAGCTGCATCAGCAACGATGGGCGCATAGAAACTGACGTCAGCTCACGCATTACAAAAGCCAGAGCTACCTTCTTGAACCTGCGTCATCTTTGGCGACAGAAGGGAGTTTCCCTTCGTCTGAAAGTCCGGGTATACAAGGCCACAGTGAGGTCCATCGTGCTCTGTGGTAGTGAGACTTGGCCCCTTCGGTCTGAAGATCTGAAGCGCCTTCAAGTCTTTGATCATCGTTGTCTGCGAAGCATTGCTAGAGTCGGACGGCCCCAGCGTGTCCGCAACGATGATGTGTGTAGGCGAGTACTGGATGGTGATAATCATGCTAGCTCCCTAGAACAACAGATAGCACTGAATAAGTTGCGTTGGCTCGGGCACGTGCTACGTATGCCTGGTCACCGCTTACCTAGGAGGGCCGTGTTTAGTCTGCCAGGTGTAGTGTGGCGAGGTGGACAGAAGTTGACTTGGCAGTGGGAAATGAAGTCACTGACGACCAAACTAGGTGCCGTTGGTTTGTGTCGCCTTCCGGGTTGGAGTCCACGTGACTCGCCTTGTGCTTGGCTCGAGACTTTACAGGACATGGCTCGCAGTAGACACCCTTGGCGCGTCTGCTGTCGTCTCCTAACCGGATTACCTGTTTAAATTGTGTTTGGTGCTGAGTTATCTGCGAGGTAATGTCTGATTATGACGCGAGGCAGTGAAAGCCGTATGGAAGCTGTCTCGCCGATGCCGCCTTATCTTTGCCCGATAGCCAGCTGTTTGTGACGGTATGTTGTCTACACAAGGTGTAGGCGCCTTGACCCTGAATGTTTGCTTAGGGGCATTATGATTTTCAGGTAAGTCCCTCTTTTCTACGTCTTCTTATTCTTTATTCCATAGATCATCATGGTTGTATGGCAGCGATGCATCAGTTCAAATGGCTAATGATTGAATAATTGTTTGGCTGTTCCACTCTACATTCTGGAGACAACTGGTACAAGGCGGCTAGTAAAGGGTTCCGGAAGTTGTGGTTTATCCTTCATTCTCTCATGACGCTAACAGCTGATATGTTTATGAAGCTCTTCTCAGCGTTCTTGCGTCCAGGCCTATCCATTATTCCTTCTCCGGGTCGAAATTGCACTCGAAATGGTGTTGCGTGTCGCTACTATGTGGGTCGAGGGGTTACGAGGACAAGCATACCCTGAACACCTACTTAGGTTGGGGATGTATTCAATGCACTATGGAAGGATTAGAGGGGATCTAATTCTAACCTACCTTATTCTGACTGAGAAGATTGGCCTGGATTTCTCCTGGCTAGTTAGTTCTGCTAGATTATCTGATCTCAGCGGACATTGTATGAATCTGGACAAACCGAATTAGAGCAGAGACTCGGTTATCGCGTCGAGTCATCGAGCGCTGGAACTCGCTTCCAGAAAACGATTTTATGCAATCTTCGGTTAAGGGGTTTGAGCGTCAACTAAATTCTCTTCGGCGGCAACACGAAACCCTTTTTTCTACCCAACTCCCATCTTTATACTTCGATTCTATTTTCTGTACTTCCGCTCACCATTGATATTACCCATTTCTTTCAAACGATTTTCCTTGCTCTTTACCGTCAATTTCTCTTCTTCTCTTGCGTACTTCACGTAACTGACATGGCAGGGACTGCTAATACAGGGAACGTGAGCATTAAATTGATGGACCAGAGTGTTTTCATTTTAGATCCATCAAGAAGTCGGAGCACTGCTATCAACTCCTGGATCAGCGACCCGCTTACGGGATTCCTCCTATAGTTCCAGTCCCACCTGAACTTAAACTTACTGTCATTGGCTAGCCAGTCACCGACAGGCAGCGTGCAACTAATCTACTCCGTGTTGCTTCAGAGAGAGAGCTGGCTTGGAGGGCTGCTATGGATGGGCTCCCTTAACATAATGCTCTCGTAGTTAGGAATAATGCGTCGGTAATAGTTGGCCAGACCATCATCAGCAGCATTATATACGTTCGCTAGAACTGAGAAGCATCTCAGCTACTGTGTCGCGATACATAAAAGGAAAAAATACAACCTACGAATGCCAGCTGAGCTACTAATAACGGATGGGCATCGTTTCGGAAAGCTACCAGCCGACTACTATGCGGCAACCGAAGTTTATTATGCAAAATTATAATCTAAGAAGTGCAATCGTGGTGGAAGGGGAAGACTAAGAGGGATGGGGTGGGACAAATGAACTCAGCACGAATGCCATTGAGGTCAGCTCCTGTCCATGTCAGCAAATGTGTCTAGCCAGACATGTTCATCGTCTTTCGGACCCCAACTAGGTAGCTGAGACCCTCCAACCGAGGCCAGCTTCGAAGTAAAACCCTTAATTCCTCTTGACCAAGTCAGCGCTTGTCCACCCCTCCTCTTCTTCTATCCACACCCCCAGCGCGCAAACGATGCACGTCACGAGAGCCGGTGGGACGGCATGCTTAGCATGTGGCCGAGCCATCGGAACCTGGTGCGTAGAGTAACTACAGAGCGGTTCATTTTCTTTTCCTGTACCGTAAACCAGGCGTCAACTATGCTCGTTGCTCACTTCAGCAGATGTGAGCCAAACTGCGAAGGCACCGGTGGTTCGGGTGTACCCCGTTCCAGCAAAG